GCCCATCCCGGAACCAGCTGAGGCTGGGCTGCGGCGTCCCGCTCACCACCACCCGCAGCCGCACGTCACCGCCCGCACACACCGCCGCGTTCCGCAGGGGCCGCAGGAAGACGGGAGCCCCGGCCGCGGCCGCCGGGGCCCCTCCGCCGGCCCCCACCTTGGCCCTCTTCGGGGGCACCCCGGGGCTGGGGGGTGCCCTCGTGCCCGCGTCCTCGCCTCGCGTGCCCCGGGCTTTCTGCATGGCTTCGGCGAGCTGGGCTGGGGGGACACTGGAACTGGGCGGCCACCGGGACACCGGGGGATGGTGCCCTGGGAGGCGAGTCCTGGGGGCCGGCGGCCTGCCTTCCTGCTGCCCGCCCGCCTTCGGCCTGTGCTACCCAGAAGGTCACCAGGGCGGCCGGCGGTTGCGCCTCGGGGGCTATTTTTAGGCCCCCCGGCTCGGGTTGCGAGGGAACTGTGGAGGGAGGGGGCAGCAGAGGGGGGGGGACTTGGACTCCACTTGGCTCCTTCTCTCCCTCCAGGAGCCCCCAGGGCCAGCCCGGGCTTAAAGGAGTCCCTGGGGATCTGTTACAGGTCCCCTTCCCCAGGGTGTGCCTGCCCCACAGCCGACCCACCCCCAGGAGTCGGGTTACCCCTGGGCTCAATCCCATTTCCCTTCCTCCCTCTTCTCAGGCCCCTGATTCCCAGACTCACAGGGCTGAGGGAGAGGAAGGGGAACGGTCCTGGTAAGATGCCTGGAGAGGTCAATGGGGAGGCAGGCCCACGTGGAGGTGAGCAAACATTGGCAGGAGGGACCCCTGGCCTCCTCCGGAGCCTCCATTACTTGGTGGTGAACAGTAAGACCAGGAGCCTGGGAGGCAGGTGGATTCCGGCTCCTGGCTGATCCTGCCCTCACTTGCTGGGTGATACCAGATCTCTCTGCCTCCAAGTCTTTATCTGTAAAAATGGGTGCTTGAATGGACTTGCAACAGGCAGAAAAGAGTGGGAAGGCCTTTCTAGGCACAGGAACAGCATGAACAAAATGAGAGCATGATGAAAGTAGACGAGTCGCTCTGAGAATTAGAGAGGTTTGGAGGCATTGAGCCACAGTGGGAGGGCAGTGGAGGAAAGGGGGCGGGGGGCCTGATGGAGAAGGTTTTGGTTGCTCAGGTCTCTATCCTGAAGGCAGGCGGTGCCACCACAGGGTTTTAAGCAGCAGAGTAACATGGTGTGAGCTGTGCTTTAGGCAGATCCCTTCGGCAGCCACAGCGTGGGTGGAGGGTGAACCAGAGACGGAAGACAGAGGACAGTTAGAGTAGTGGTTTTCAAAGGATGGCATCTGTTAAAAAGTATGGATTCCTAGGCCCCACCCCCAAAGACGCTGGTTCAGTAGGCCTAGATGGGAGGGTGCAGCAATCTACACATTTAACAAGGGACCCAGGTGACTCCGATGTGTCTAAGAGTCGCACTTTGAGAGACATCAAGAGAGAACATTACCATTTTAAAACTTCCAGATGAGACCTTTGTAATAGAACAGTTCTGTATATTGACTGTGGTGGTGCTCACATGAATCTACACATGTGATAAGATTGCATAGAACTAAATGTGTGTGTGCAAGTATACACACACACACACTAAAAAGTGCATGAAAACTGGTAAAATCTGAAAAGGGTGGGTGGACTCTACCAATGTCACTTTCCTGGTTGTGATACTTATTATAGTTTTACAAGAAGTTACCACTTGGGGAAATCAGGGGAAGGGTATACAAGGATGTCTCTTCATTGTTTCTTAAACTGCATGTGAATCATATAGTTACCTCAAATTAAAAAAATGTTTAAAAAGCTGTGTGAGAGACCCAGGCCTGACCTTGAGCCCTGAGGGATGAAGTCTGGGCAGGGCTAAGAGGAGCCATGAGTCATTCAGAGGAGAAAAGTTCTCTTGACCTTGCCTCCCCATCCCCCACCCTCCTTCTGAGATACTGAAGTGAGAGAGAGACAGAGAGAGGGAGTGGTGTGTGTGTGTGTGTGTGTGTGTGTGTGTGTGTGTAGAAGATACAGAAGAAACACTGAATTAATGTTCATAGAGATTAAGAGCCTTCAGGAATAATTTTTTTAGTTTGCATATATTAAAGGTTATTCTTTGTGATGTGCATTTCTTTGGGTTTTGACAAATGCATAGAATCATGTATCTGCTACCCCAGGACCATACAGAGTAATTCCATCATCCAAAATATTTGCTTTAGATCCCCTTTGTAGTCAACCACACCCCCCTCCAGCAACTCCTGGCAACCACTGACGAGTTGAATTCTAAAATGTAAATTGAATTCTAAAAGGTAAAAATGTGGGGGAAGGCATTGCAAACAGATGGAACATCAAGAATAAAGAAAAATAGTTTTTTTTAAATGAATAACCCAAAGTCATCTTATACTGTGCCTCAACAATTTGCGTGGAATGCAGTGGGTGGTCTGTAAATGCTGGCTGATTAGCTGGTTGGTTGAGTAAATGAACTGTGTGATCCTGAGCAAGTCACTTAACATCTCTAAGCCTCAGTTTCCTCATCTACACCATGGGGGTAGCCCAACTCAGGGTTTGTTTATTCATTCATTCAACAAACATTTTTGAATTCCTACTATGTACCTAGCAATGTTCTAAGGACTAGAGATACAGCAGTGAACAGAACAGACAAGGATTCTTGCCCCCCTTGTTGCTTATATTTGAGGAGAGACACAAAAGAGAAATAAAGACATTGTAAAGATTATTAGAAAGCGATAAGTGCTGTGGGAAATGCTGAGCAGGGTAAGGGGGATTCGAGTGTGGTGGGGGATTGCACTTTCAAATAGGGTGGCTGGAGTCGGCCTCCATGGGAACATCTGAGCCAGTCCTGAAGGATTGAGGAAGCAAATTTTAGTAATGCAGCCATCTGGGGAGGATTGCTTCAGGCAGAGGTGGGAATATGCCCAGTGGGCTCTGGGAAGAGCCAGGAGGCCAGCCAGGCTGGAGGGAATGAGGGGAGAATGGAGGAAAATGGGTTAGACAGGTTGCAGGCCACAGTGCTTTTGTTCCTAGTGAAATGGGAAGTCATCTCAGGGCTCTGAGCAGAAGAAATTACATGATCTGACTTGCGTTGTTGTGATGGCATTAAATTATTATATTAAATATTAAAATAAATATTAACTATTTAAAAGGGCCTGGCACAGAGCCTGGAACAAAGCTTGTCTCCTGCCTTCCTATGTCCCTAATAGGGGCACTCATTGATTTGCGCACAGGGGACTGTGGGCCTGGGTAAGGAGGGCACAGGCTGGGGTTAGTCGCTGGCGCCCTCTCCTGGGAGGAGCCAACACTTGTTGTGACAGCTAGAAGTGGTCAGGTTCCAGCCAGGCTGGTGACCCAGAGCAGCTGGCTGCAAGGCGCTTGTCTGTCCCTCATCATGGGCCCCACAGTGGCCCCCGGCCTGGCGCCGGGCTGGGCGTGTGTGTTGCCAGTGTGCCCTGCCTTTCGATCACAAGCCTATGGTGTCATGGAAAGAGATCTGGGCTCCGGAGGCCAAGGAGCCTGGGGCCCAGTCCTCCTTTGCTATAAACTCCTGTGTGACCTTGGCAGGTCACCCTACCTCTCTGGGCCATGGGGTGTTTCCTCTAAGTCATAATGATGTAGCACGTGTCTGGCACATGGGAAAATCTCAGTAAATGTTCATTGAGTCAGTGAATGAAGTGGGGGGCATCAGCCCTTCCTGGTGAATATTTAATTTAAAGAAAAGTAAGTAAAAGTGCCTGGTGGGTATTCATTAAACAAGTATTTAAATATTTAATGAGTGCCTACTAAGTACCAAGCACTTTTCCGGGCATAAAGTAGTGAATAAAGTGGATAAAACCTACCCTTGGGTAGCTGCATTTTAGGTGTTGAATCAAAGGGCATTGATGTATTTGTATATGTGCCCTGGGCCAGCTTGTGGTGAGAGGAAGGAGGAAAGAGGTGAATGCGTAGAATGAGGCTGGGGTCTCAAGGGGCAGGGGGTGGGAGGGTAGCCAGAGTAGACGGACAGGATAGGAAAGTGCCCACTGAGCCCTCAGTTCCTGGCATAGAGACCTGTCTGTCTCCTCCACCCCTCAGATGGGGTTGGAGCTGGTCAGGCCTGATACCTCCGGCCCAGTGGGAAGATGGTTAGTCCTCTAGGAGTCCTCATTTCTTGACGTTCAGATTCTAAAAGGAGAAGGCACCAAAGCGTCCCGAGGAACAGAGAGAGGTTTTGCCATGGAAGTGCTGGTGTGTACGTGTATGTGCATGTGGGGAATGGGTACATTGAAGATCTGGTTGTACATATATGACCAATGCAACCCAAATCTTCTTTGGTTTGTTTTTGCCCATTCCCTGGGTTCTCTGGGTCACTGCCCAGCTCCCAAGGAGATAAGCAAAGCTTAGAGCCAGAATTTCTAGTCCCAGGCAGCCTCTGCTCAGAGAATGCTTTCTCCTGGGGACAGGTGGCTCTGGGCCTTCTCTCTTCTCTGAGGACAAGTAGGTAGTACTTACAGGAGACAGAGGTGTGCTGAGAAGAAAGGGCTTTACTTCAGAGCTGTCCCCAGCTGGAAGAGGCCACCACAGAAGTAGCGAGTTCACTGGAGACATTCAGACAGAGCTTAGATGTCTGCTTGTCAAGGACGTTGGGGCAAGGCTGGGGAGGGGATTTCTGTACTGTGAGGGTCACTGCCTGGGGGACTTCTGAGGTCTGCCTCAGAGTCTAAGATTCCTACATTCCCTCCACCTTAGTGACCAGTATGTGCCCAAGTGCTTTTGGGTTTTTTTTTCTGGTGGGGGAAGGGAGAGCCTCCTTCAAAACATTTCCTGACCTAGAGTATTGAGCCTTCTTATCTAAGCATAAGATACGTCTTTCCACATTTCTGAACATTATCATTTTTCCTGGAGTAGTCTCCGTGCAGGAAGGGTTAATGGAAAGAGGCTGTATGCTTCTCTGGGGAAGGGACTGAGAGAGCCCTAATTCAGAGTGCGTTTGTGGGGAGCAGTGGCATCATTTGAAAAGAACAGCAGGTGGTGTGTCCCTCCCAACTCATGGCCCTGCTGATGTGAAGGTAGGGTAGGAGGCATCAAGGGGCAGTCCAGGAACTGGGGCCTAATGGGAGGTATTTGTGGTTCCCCAATAAAAGCCCCTGGTTCAGCCTGCCTTCCCCCCTTGTTGTGCACATATGGCAGGGCTGGGAGGCCCTGGGGGACAGTCTGGCTGGGCAGGAGGGCAGCACAGTCCATCTCA